GGTTACTATCTGGTAAACCTCCAAGGAGAGGTGACCAATGTGACATGAAGTAGGAGAGTGGTGCTCAATGACTTCTGCCAGAAAAGACTAAATAAAAGGAAATATAATGCACAGCTACATATTGAGCTTCAACAAACATTTTGTGGCTGTGTGGTCAAGGGGTGTTGCTCACTATAACTGGCACTGGATATCTGTGGAAGGGGGATTTGTGGTGGGATGGAGGTTCAGATTACTATTCCACTACACTTCTTAGTGCAGGAAGAAAAGGCATTTAATCTGCTTGGTCTCCAGTTTTCTTATTTGTAAAATGAGGATAACAATTTATATTTCTTCAGGTTATCATAAAAGTACAGTGGTTTAGAGGCTGCAATGCTGAATTATATTCTATGGAATGAATTTTAATCTGTCCAAAACCAGATTTATTACCTACCATTACCACCAAGGGTGGTGGGACAATTTGATCTTCCCAAGAACTATGCTGTGTAGTGCTCTGGTTTTTGAAAGTTATTCATTCCTACTGATGAAGTCTAACAAAATATTTCTTTTATCATTTCCATTTTAATGTGGTGATCCAGCTTACTCAAAAGAAGGTACTCTACTTTCTATAAGATCACATTCCCTATAAACATCTGCCTTATTTCATCCTAAGTCATCATAATGGCATTGAGAAAAGAATCAGGTGACACACTGGACTGTTTGATATTTATAGAAAGACTTTCTAGTACAGTTTTCTGATCTTTATTGATTTCCAGTGTTCTCTGAGAATATGATGAAAGCTACAGTTCTTCTCAGCAAAAACAAAAACAAAAATGCATAATTTTGCACATAATTTCACATCACCCATGATTCCATTGAAAATTATTCATGGAGAGTTATTAAGAATCTTTGGCTCTTAGTTGCAAAGTGGTCACAGTACAATTTTCTTCTTTAATCCCTGATAGTATTTGTGGGTGACTAGCACACAATAATAATCTGGCATCATTTTCATTTTCTCAAATTATTTTCGTTACGGTTTTTTTCTTACTGTAGCCAAGAATAAAGATGTTTAGAATAGGGCCTCCCTGGCTGCACAGGGCTTAAGTCTCAGCGCTATCAAGATATCACCAGCCACTGTGGCATGAGTTCGATCTCCAGCAAGAGAGCTAATCCACATGGTGCAGCAGACCTCTCCTGTCTCACCCGCTACTCCCTGCAGCAGTGTATTTCAGTGGAACTGCCTGTTCTCCACACTCTGTCTCTGGTGAATTCTATCACCCTCCCCTGCCCCGGACCTCTGGCCTGTACCCCAGTACTTGTATGCATAACTAAATAAGATAAATCTTTTTTAAAAAGGTGTTTAGAATAAATCTTCCAGAATTTATTTATAGCCCTTGGCTCAGAATGCAATTGGTAAATAACCTGCACTATAATCACATTGAAGCGGAACCAATTATTGTTCTTAAGACTTGCTGAGGGTTAGTCAACCCCAAGCACATGTGAGTCTCCATACCACTGGACATCCAGCTACCAAGCAGAGGCTAAAAATAGATGAAGCCTAATGCTTACATACTCTCCACAGAACTGTATTTGCAACCTTAGGGGTTTTAAAGCACAAAATTGTGCACAATCCAGAGAGAGAGAAAGGAGAGAAAGAAAGAGATTTCATGTAGCAAAGTTGCTCGACTTGAGGAAAAAAAGCCAGAATATAGCCTAAAGAAATTATGAAAAATTTCAAATATTCAAAGAATATTATCTTCACCTGTTAATTCTAACAGGTCTAAAAAAAGAAAGACTAAAATAGCTCCTCATTAGGGGGTATTTTACATTGCTGTGTTTTCTTTCTCTAGTTTCTAGGTCAACATTTCTAGGTCAACATTTCCACCAAGAAGTTTGAGCTGTTCAAGCACAGCAAACCATTAATAAATACCTACCACCTACATAAATACATATATAACAGGAAGGAATAGATGTGTAATTGAGGTATAGAAAAATACAATTCCATTTCCCATAAAAAGTTCTTTTTATCTAAAACAGCTATCTTCAAAAGATTATAGAAAGCAATTATTTTATGAATAAAATATTAAAATGTTCAATTACTAATGTCTGATATATCCGATGATTAATAACTATGAATATTACACATGTTTAAAATATTACACATGTTTAAAATAATCTTCACAAAAAATTAGCAATATAATAGAAGAAGTACAGATCTCTTTAAAATACAAATTTGTAGGGGCCTCCCCTGGTGGCGCAGTGGTTGAGCACTGCCTGCAGCCTCTGCAGCACCAGTTCGATCCCCGGCCACCGGCAAGGGTCCCACAAAAATAAAATAAAATAAAATAATAAAATAAAATAAAATACAAATTTGTCAACTCTACAGATTCTATAGCATGGGGAAATGGAACGGGTACACAGATTTATTCCAACAACTGCATGATTATGAAAATGGTCATCTTCTATAGGCTCAGCACAGGTGGTCCAGGATATTAAAATTAATCCCCCCTCTGTCACAAGACAGCTGCTTTCCTAAATGAGGTTATTATACATATTCATGGAACATTCTTCAGGAGAACAAATGATGCTGCACATACGCATGGAATTGATTCCTCCCAACTTTCCTTTGGAAGGCAGCTCGTTTGCATTGAGTGCCAAAAGAAATGAATTCTTCTCAATGACAGTATTTTCGTGTTTGCAGCCAGTGTGAGGTCCTTATGAATATCCCATTGCAGAACATGACCCATGAAAGTGAGATTGCAAAATGATCTCGTTAAATGGAATTTCAGGATGTTGCCATCACACATTCCAGGTAAACCCCAGCAGAATCTGGCTCTGTGACTGAACTTAGCAGAAACTCCCAAGAGGTCGCTGTCAGAGCCCATAAAATGACAGCTGTAGAACAGGTCCTGCTTAAACTCAACAAGGGTTTAGGAATTCCTGCCTTCAGAAACCTTCCTCACTTTTATTCATGGAAACCACTATATTATTTTCTCAATAACTCTTTTTAATTCCCAAAAATAAACAACTATTCCAGTTGCCTTAACAGGCATTTTGTAGACTCAAATTTTGTAAGATTTAAAACTGTATTATGTTTACCACAAAAATGTCACCTACAACTGTGCTTTGACGAAGACAAGTCAAGACAGTAGGTGGTTATTTACCACATAGCCCAGAAATTTTAACATTTTGAGGCTCAGAAATTCTTTCTAGAGACTACATATAGATTTTCAGTAGTCACATACATCTTACAAGTTTTTTAAATCTTTATGAAATGTTTCATTTTGGATATTGAGAAAATAAAAATGGACATGAATTAAGCATTAAGTATCTGCCTATTGCTCATCAGGTCGGAAAAATAGACACAGAGATGCTTATTACGAAGATCACAGGAAATATTCTCCCCAGGATATTGCTGCTGTAAGGTGTGGTAACCTCCTTCTTTGAGAGATCATAGACTCACTGAAAAACTTTCTTCTTTAAAATCAAAGACTGGGGATCTCCCTGGTGGCACAAGGAGTTAAGTCTCAGCACTATGAAACAATGGCAGCCACTACAGCTCAAGTTTGGTCCCCCGCCAGGGAGCTACCCACATGGTGCAGTAGACCTCTCCTGTCTCACCCGCTGCTCCCCTCAACAGTGTATTTCAGTCAATCTGCTTGTTCTGTTACCACTCTGTCTCTGGTGAATCCTCTCACCCCCTGCCCCCACGTCTGGCCTGTACCCCAGCTCTTGTATGCATAAATAAATAAAACAAGTCTTTTTTAAAAAATAATAAAATCAAAGACTATCAATACGTTTGTTGTTTGAATTTTTTTCAGTAAGAATGAGACTTTGCACTCTTGCTTGGAAGACCTTAATTGATGTTGACATAGAGAAGCAGCCTCAATTCTCAGCCCAGGGGCTGAGCTTCACATAAGGAGGTCTCTGGATGCAGAAGACCACATTTGTATCAACTTCACTGTTGCCAGAGAAACAAGACCCTGGATTCACTTTGCAGACCAGACCTGCACTAAATTCCACTTTTCTAGAATTCTATAGCAACTCCCCCTTTTCCTCTGGTTTGTGGTTTTCTAATTGCAACAGGTCAATTCATCTAATTTTGTCAGAATATAAATTTGTTCTTAGTATAATTAGGCTGACTCAGAAAGGGTATTTTTTTTTTTTATAAAATGTTCTGGCTAAAAAAATAAAAATAAGGCCTCCCCTGGTGGCGCAGCGGTTGAGCGCTGGGCTGCCAAGCTGCCCGCAGCCTCTGCAGCGCCAGTTCGGTTCCATCCCGGGCTGCTGGGCGAGGGCCCCACATGGTGCACAGACCTCTTCTATCCCGCCCGCTATTCCCCTCAGCAGTGTATTTCATCAGTCTGCCTGTTCTGTTCCCCACTCTGGCTCTGGTGAATTCTCTCACTCTCCCTCATTTCTGACTGTATCCAGTACTCGCATAAATAAATCTTTTAAATAAATCTTTAAAACAAATAAATGAATGAATGAATGAATAAGTAAATAAATAAATAATAAAAGTAAATGTTCTTGCTAAAGAAACTATCTGATGCTGGGATAGTGGCTCAGAATTTTAATATTGGCTTTCAGATATCAAAAAAAAAAAATCACCTCTCAGCTATAGTTTAATCTCCTATTATTCGAGAATTTTAAATTCTATGCTGTTTTCTATTATCTAAGTGCAAACATTCTGAGAGCCAGGAGACCTGTTGAGAGTGTTGAAATGATATTTTCTGGCTCTGCTGCAGCCAATGCAACCTGTGGCAAAACTTCTCTGCTTCTAGAAATATCACAGTTGGCAATTCAAACCAGATACTCCAGGGTGACTGTGAAGCTCTTTGTGAAACTCAAAAAGAAAGTAACCCAGAAATAGGGAGTCTTAAGGCCCAGGTCTTCCCCAATCATGGCCTCACTCCACACCTGGTTTAAATGTAGGGCTCTTGGAATTAAGAAAGGAAAAGGTGATGTGGGCTGGTTATTCAGAGAAGGCTTTGCGCTCAGGTTGAAGGCTGCTTTTGACATACCCGTGGGAGTAGCCGTAGTCATAGGCTGAGGCTGCCTTCCGACTGACTGCAGACTCGAAGGTGGACTCGGTGGCCCGTGAGGCCTGTTGCTGGTAGGACGCCTGTTGCTGGTAGGATGCTGCAGACACCTGGCTGAAGGCCTCTGATTCCTGGCGGCGGGCAGCAGCGGAACGGGTACTGTAGGCTGTGGACCCATGGGTGTAGATGGCAGAGCTTTTCTTCTCATGCTGGTACTGGCTCAGGGTGGTGCGGAGGTCCTTGTTGCGGTAGCTGCTGTCGTAGTGTTTGTGCAACTTCTGGTAAAATGGCAGAGCCATTGTGTGCCCCTGAGGGAACCAGACAAGCTACAAAAAAAGCAACAATTTTTTCGTGAGCCATTCAGGAACAAATTCCATAGGACAAGTGAAAATCAAAGTGTAAAAATGAATATTCATATCTTTTCAAGAGTAAGTGGGAAATGATGTGAAGGTTAGTTTACTTGGTTACTGCACAGACCCCAACTTCATAGCCCAGACTGCCCCTCTGGACAGTATGCCTTCTCCTACTTCATCAGGGGGTCTTTACAAAAGTCCTTTACTCTGACAATTGTACTTTTTTCTCAGATATTTCATAGTACACATTTCTAATATGTATTTCGTTCTGATGGGAGCAAAATCTGGGAGATTATGTAATGAGGGAGAGCCTGCATACAATTAATATGGTTTTCATTTAACAGATAACTACTGAGTACCTCCTATGAGCCTGGAACTATTATAGCACATGAATTACAGTGATGAATAAAACAAATGAAACTTCTGCTCCAATAACTTATGTAGAACTTCATATTCTATTGCAGAAACTAGACAATAGAGAAAATAAGTAACGTGTAAGATATATTGGAATGTACTAAATGGTATAGATAAAAATTAAGCAGAAAAGGTTAGAATGCAATTAAGAGCCTCCACAAGGATGGATGACTTCGCTGGAAAGTGACTTCTGAACATTAGAATGGTGGAGGAAGAGTATTCTGGACAGAAGATAATGCAAAGGCCCCGGGGTGTGAGCCAGTGTGATGTACTCTGGGAATAGCAAACAGGCTGGTGCAGCTGCCTGGAGTGAGAGGGGTGCAGGGAGAGGTATAGGAGATAACCAAAGAGGTGATGGGTGTTAGGAGAGAAGAGAAACCAGTTCAGGGTCCAATATGTGACTTTAAGCACTTTGTCTTTTATTGTGAAAGGACTGGGAGGACATTAGAAGGTTCTGAACTGAGAATTATTCTCATGGATGTCTGAAGAATAGACTGTTGAAGGACAGAATGAAAGCCAGCAGAATAATTTGGAAGGCTGTTTTGAGCTGAGTTGCAGTCCCTCAAAATTCATATGTTACTGTTCAAACCTCCAGTTTCTTCAGAGTATGACTGTATTTGGAGATAGGATCTTTACAAAGAAATGAAGTTAAAATGAGAGTCAATGAACCCTCATCCAACACAACTATGTCCCTATAAGAGGGAATTAGGACACAGACATGTACATATACAGAGAAAAGACTGTGTGTAGACACAAGAAAGCCACCTACATGTCAGGAAACACCAACCCAACTGACACTTTGATCTCAGATTTCTAGTCTCCAACTGTGAAGAGATACATTTCTGTTAAGTCACACATTCATGGTACTTTGTATGACAGCCCTCCTAAGGCCATGCTGTAGTCCAGGCTAGAGATGACAGCAGAAGCAGTGGAAGTATAAGAAGTGGTCAGACACTGCATATATTTTAAAGGTACAGCAAATGGCATTTGCTGAAAGTTCTGAATGAGGGTTTGAGAGAAAGAGGAGTAAAAGATCATTCAAAGTTTTTGACTGAGTAATTGGAAATAGGAAGTTGCTATTTACTGAGATGGGCAGGAATGTAAGAAGGCAGCAGTGCTGTATAAAAGAACTAGAAATTAGCTTGAGACATTCTACATTTGAGTTACCTGATGGACATCTAAGTAGAGATGGTAAGCTGGATGTGTGACTTTGGAGTACAGGATAAAGGTCCAGGTTGGAGACCTACATTTGGGAATCACCCACATGTAGATGGTACTTAAAGCCAAAAACAGAGGAGAATGATTGTAAAGAGAAAAAGAAGTGCTAGAAATGAACTTCTTTCAAATCACAAACACTTCAAAAAGATCAAGTGACAAAATAGAAAAAGTATTTGCTCCACTAGGAATATGAAGTCCTTGTCCATTAGGAATATCTAGTCCTCTTACATAAGGAAGTAAGAAATCAGTCATCAGTATAGCAGTTTGCATTGTGAACTTGAGCTAACAGTTCTCCTGAAATCATAGACGTACTTGCTTAGCAACAGAAGGGAGATTTCACATTGCAATAGCTTTCTTTTTTTTTTTTTTTTTAGTGTATTTTTTTGTTTTTTTTTTTTTTTTTTTTTTTTATTTGTTTGTTTTGTTTATACAAGCACTGGGTACAGTCAGAAGCGCGGGAGGGTGAGAGAATTCACCCGAGCCAGAGCGGGGAGCAGAGCAGGCAGAAGGACCGAAGTACACTGCTGAGGGGAGCAGCGGGCGGCAGGAGAGGTCTGCGCGCCATGTGGGACCCTCCTCCGGTGGCCGGGGAGCAGCCGGGGATCGAACCGGCGCCGCAGAGGCCACGGGCAGCTTCGCAACCCAGCGCTCAACCGCTGCGCCACCGGGGAGGCCCCATCAATAGCTTTCTTGAATAACTTGTCCACTGACAGGAGCCTACCAGTCATGTAACAACGTTGGATACAGTAATAGTTTGGTGGAATAACTGCAGCTCCCAAAGTTTGTATACTTTGTTTATGTTATGAAATGTTACTTTTAAATCATACAAATAAAATTAGTTGTGAAGTAACCAGTTTTTTCAAATCCTTTAAAAATTCTAAATGAGGAGTAAATCTTTCTAAACTTCCCATACTTCCTGGTGGCCTAGGATTTAAGTCTCAGCACTACCATCACAAGGATGGCCCACCTCGAAGGGCTGAGTTCGTTCCCTGGCCAGAAAGCTAAGCCACGTGGAGCAGCAGAACCTCTCCTGTCTCACCCTACTGCTCCCCTTAGCAATGTATTTCAGTAGATCTGCCTGTTCTGCTCCCCACTCTGTCTCTGGTGAGTCCTCTCACATACACACTCCCCACCCCGCACCTCTGGCTTGTTCTCCAGTGCTTCTATGCAAAAATAAATAAAATCTTTTTTAAATAAATAAAATAAATCTACCCTTTATTTAAACCATTTTAAAAGTCAACATATATTCCTTAGAGAAGAAAATCCAGCAAACTTCACTCCAGAAATATTTTTCTTAGGACTCGTGGAAGATATCAGTCTACTCGGTATTTCTCAAGAGGAAAAAAAATAGCTACTAGCAAGCAACTTTGCTTCAACCTTTAAATAAACTGCTGTTTTTTTGTCCTAAAATATACAGAACAATTATCATGAGCAATGAATCATTTCTACATAAATTCTGATAAAACAAAAGCAGTTCAAATATATTATTACAGAAGTTTATTATGTTAGGAATGAATGACCTTCTTATGTATTAGGTTATAAGTTAAATACACAACCCAGCTAACTTAAAATACTGTTATTTTCACAAAATAAAATCTGTAAATATCGAGCCCCTGGTTCTGTCTGGCACTGTCTTTATTTCTATTCCCCCAGGTACACATATTTTAATAACATCTAATATTCCAAACACATAGAAAATGTATTACAAGCAAACAGGCTTTGGCTTCAGCTGGTTGTCTCAGCTCTGACCTCTGGAACAAAGGTACAGCTACCTTCTCTTTAACAGTCAGTGAGGATTATCCCCCCCTTGACAGCTAGGGTATGTTCGAAGGACAGATGGTTTGGTTGTTCTATGTTCCTTTAACACCTATATTTTATTTTTTTATAATAATTAGGGAAGAGGAATAAATGTGAACTCCACAGGCATAACCTTGATATGAGACTTGCACAGACATTAGAAGACTAAAGCTGATTAAAATTATTCACAGAAAGTGTTAACTTTAGCATCATTAGGTGGGGATCTGTGCTGGTGCTAGAATATTATTTAAACATCATTTTAGGTAAGGGACATCATCATCCACTCATGTTCTCCGCATGGCATTATCAGAGAAAAAACACTGAATTAGAAAGTAGAGACTCTAGGGTTAGTTTACCCTTTCGATCGAATTTGTAATCAGGAGTATGGCCGGGATATGGAAGACAGAAAATACATGATTTCCTGTCACTTCACCTATTCCAGATTTCTACCAAACCACTGAACTGAAACTTGGAAAGAGTACTTAACTCACACTTATAATTCCAACTGAGACTGATATTACCTCATTTGATTCCAGGAATAGTAGTTTAATTTAAACAGAATACAGTGTTCTAAGGAATAACTGTGCCAGCAAATACTGGCAGCCTGCTGCTCTGGTTTTCCTCTCCAAGGACTCCACTTTCCTATTTCTCTGCTGTTCTGACATCTTTTGAGAAAACTGCTGATCTGGGAAGATAGAAAGAAACCACATATACCACAGCGCTGTTCAGCACATAAAATACACAGAGCATTCTTTCCCCTCAGTGTCACACTTACCAGTTTCCAAAGGAGTGATGGTGGTGGAAATGTTCCGACGTGGCTGTGGAGCTGGATGATAGAATGAAAAACTCACGCAGTTGAATCCAAGAAAAAGTTAAGAGGCAGGGCTAAAGACAACCCGTGGGGACCAGTTCAAAAATAATGCATGTGGTCAGGCAGGAGAATGTCAGAGTCCCACAGCCAGCCTTTTATGGCCAAGAAGACAGATAAATATAGCAGCAAATAGGGAGGGAAGTCCTAAACCGTAGGAAGGGAGAGGCACCAGCAGGTAACTGTCTCAATAATGTAATGACATTAATGCCACTCATTGAGTCTGGCCTGGTTAAATAAAACATAAGACTTTTATTTAGCTATGAGAGCTATTTTCAGTATCACTTTATCAGTGGATATTTAAAAGTGCAATGGAAAGCATGGTTTGTGTCGAGCGCTATAAATAGATACAGTAATCTGAATCCTAAAATGGACTTCATGGAATTTTAATGCCAAGATATGGTTCTGGGTGTGCTATTCATGTATAGTACATTTTCATATGGTGAAAAAAGAACTTGAGGCTACCTAGAGACAAGCCAAATAAAAAGTGGGTTGCAAGTAGTGGCAGTTTGGGCCTGATGATACGCAATCACTGTTTCTTTCATTTTAGGAAAATTTACAAAGTAAGTCATAGCTTCAAATTTGAATATTTGCTTCCCTAGTCATTAACTAAAGTCTTTGAGAAGTAATATGCTTAACCTTTCCTAAAGTCAGAATAGGGTCAACATACCTAATAGGAGGTTCTCTTTCTTTGTTTTTTTGGACTATGTAACAAATTCAGAGGTGTTTTAACCTCGGGGTTAGAACCTGCCCTTGGGTTCAAATCAGAACTAGATCCCAAGCCATCAATGACACCAACATTTTAACAATAAGCAATTTCTTTCTCTCCCCGAAGCGAATTTATTTTCTTGATAAAACAGGGTTAATAATATCTAAGTTATGGAACTGCTGTGGAGATTAAAAATAATAATGGAGGGTTCTCCCTGCTGGCCTAGGGGTTAAGTCTCAGAGCTATCACCACTGTGGCCTGAGTTTGATCCCTGGCCAAGGAGTTAGCCCACATATGGTGCAACAGACCTCTCCTATCTCCCCCACTGCTCCCCTTGGCAGTGTATTTCAGTAAATCTGCCTGTTCTACTCCCCACTCTCTCTCTGGTGAATCATCTCCCCCCCCACACCTCTGGCTTATGCCCCAGTTCTTCTATACACACACAGACAAAAAAAAAAAAAAAACTCATAAAAAATAATAATGGAAATAAAACACTTAATACGGTGACTGCTACATAATACTCAGAAATATTAACCATTGTTACTGGTAGTAATAATTGAAAAACTCATTGTTTAGATCATATATATTGAGTAGGTTGATATTCTCATTTATTCTCCTTATGTTCTGATAGTTATAACACATCAACTTAACACAGACCACTTGTATCTATCAAACTATTGAACAGACCCAATACTGTTACTGTACATTATAATTATTTTCTTGATGGTAACTTCTGTAAACACTGTTGAGGATCTACCAATTTCCAGACACTTTGATAAGTACTCTATTTGCAAGGTTCTCATTTAATTCTCAAAAACCCTGAAAATTAGTTATGACCAGTTTTGCTATATAGCTGAGGAAATTAAGGCTTTCAGAGGTGAAGTCATTTGCCAAAAATCACAGTTCATAAATACTATAAAACCAATTCATTCAGAGATCTTGGGATTCTAAATTGCATGTGCTCTTTGCCACACATTGCTGTCTTCTCTAGTGACACTATGTTTACAAGAAACAAATATTTTGGAGTGGTTTTCAAATGAAATATAAGTCTCCATTCAAAACTCAGCATCAGCTTCTGAGCTACCCAAAATACGTACAAAATGAATTCCACTTAGTCCTGATGCAGTTTCCTTATAAAATTCAAGCTGATTTGTCTTCATCTATATACCCCTTCTTTTAGTGTTTGTATGAATGCTTTCAAAAATTATATTATTTTTCATTGAGTAACATTGTAGTAACAATACTACATATGATTTAGGGGTATAGGCTCACACTTTTTCAGATGTCTGTTACCACACCACACCCACCATCAAAGCACCCACAGTCCTCCACTATAGTCCATTGGGCCCCTTTCCCTTGCTTCTGTTTCTTTTGACAATGTCTTAGAGTTGTACTGCATAGGTTTCACTTCCTTTGTTAGATTTGTTCCTAAGTATTTAATTCCTTTTTTTAAAGATTTATTTATTTATGCATACAAGAGCTGGGGTACAGAGCAGAGGTATGGCGGGGGATGAGAGGATTCACCAGAGACAGAGTGGGGAACAGAACAGGCAGATTGACCGAAGTACACTGCAGAGGCAAGCAGCGGGCAAGTCAGGAGAGGCCTGCTGCCTGATGTGGCTTGCTCCCTGGCAGGCGGAGGATTGAACTCGTGCTGCAGAGGCTGCGGAAACTTCATAGGTTGTGTCTCAATCCCTTTTGCCACCAGGGAGGACCTTAATTCTTCTTTTAAAATAATCCTTCTTTTAAGATTTATTTATTTATGCATATAAGAACTAGGGTACAGGCCAGAGATGTGTGGGTGAGAGGATTCACTAGGAACAGAGTGGGAACAGGCAGACTGACTGAAATACACTGCTGAGGGGAGCAGCAGGCAAGACAGGAGAGGTCTGCTGCACCAAGTGGGTCATCTCCCTGTCCAGTGATCAAACTCATATGCCATCTTGGCCACATCCCTGTCCAGTGATCCAACTCGTACTGCAGTGGCTGTGGACTGCTCCATAGTGCTGCGTCTTAACCCCTTGCGCCATCAGTAAGGGCCCTATGTCTTTTTGATGAGGGCCTCCCCTGGTGGCGCAGGTGGTTGAGGGCAGCACTGTGAAGCTGTCCGCTGCCTCTGCAGCGAGGGTTGGGCAGTGAGGGTTGGCCAGTGAGAATCCCACACAGCAAGGAGACCTCTCCTGACTTGCCCGTATTTCAGTCAGTCTGCCTGTTCCGTTCCCCACTCTGTCTCTGGTGAATCCGCTTGCCCTCCCGCGCATCTGGCCTGTACCCCATTCTTGTATGCATGAATAAATAAATCTTCAATAAAAAATAATAGTTATTTTTAATGAGATTGTAAATAAGATTGTTTTCTTGACTTATTTCTTCTCTATTTCATTGTTTGCACATAGGAATGCAACATACTCTTGTATATTGATTTTGTTGCTGCCACTTTGCTACTGATTGTTTCTAATAGTTTTTTAGTGAAGTCTTAAGGTTTTCTGTGCATATTATCATGTTTTTTGCAGAGTGATAATTTTACTTTTTTCTCCAGTTTTGATTCCTTTTATATTGTTCTCATGCCTAATTGCTCCAGTTAAGACCACCAATCCTGTTGAATAGTAGTGGCAAAAGTGGACACACTTGTCTCAAATGGATGTGTTAGCTGCCTGAAATTCATAGGAAAATTTCCAGACTAGATATTTCCCAGTTATTTACTTGTTCTATAAATGTCCAATACAGAATGGCAGTGGTTCTTTTTAGTTTCATCAACTAGCCATTGTAATGGTTCCTGATAAGCTGTTTCTCTGGTCCACATGGGAATTAAATTAAAAAAGAAAAGTAAACAAAAATAACAGTTATAATCATAATGCTGATACAGGGCAGCAAGGGGCATTAAAACTGGCCAAGGGTTTGAATCAGTTAATTACTAAGGTGCTTTCTACCTCCAACGGCCTGTGCTATCAATTACCTATTCTTGTATTGCTAATAAGCTGTTTAGTAACATCCTAGGTGGAGCAAATTGTAGAATGAAATAAATCCTCTTTCCTCTAAAAAATGCTTTTACCTGCTAACTCACATCTGAAATGCCCTCTACTGAGACTGACATTTAATAACTTTAATAATCCAGGAAGAAGTTTCAGCATGCTATCAGTTCTTTAAAACTTTGTGTGATGGGTCAGGCTCACATTTGTTATGAGTAGAGCAGTGGGGGGGGGTATGGTGTGGGGGAATGGTGTTTAAAGGGCTAGAGGCAGGAGACCTAGGACTCTCATAGGAAGCCAAATTTCATGTAGCTAGTAAATGAACTCTATCTAAACTAGATGGACTAGATCTAGATCTAAACGTAGATCTAGTTCTAGTTTTATCTGTATTTGGGTAATTGCAAAATACAGCCAATGCTGTCAACATCTGCATCAGGATCTATACGTTGCAAGAAGCTTTGTGCATGTGCTCCTGCCCAGGCTAGGAAGGGGGAGAGTTGCTGGGGTCAACAAGACTGATCCTGGAAAGAGACAGCTCTGAGGTGATGTGGAACTGACAAGGTTGGTGGGACAGGACCTCACTGCTGCTCACATCCTTATCTGTCACCCAGACTAGGCTCCAGGCCACCAGGCCACAGTGGCCTTCATTCTTTGTGAAATGCTTCACTTGTTGCTATAGAAATGGAATTAATTTCTAGTCTTTACCTGTTGCCCTCTTCACCCATGACCCCCCCACCCCGCTTCTCTTCTTCTCTCAATCCATCTCCCCCACCTCCCACCCTAAGACACTTTATATTGCTTACCCAAATCTCTTCCTTTGTTTGCAGAAGGGAGGAAAGCCCTTTAGTTGTTAAGGTACACCTGGCCTTAGGATTATGATTTGTTGCACAGAGGCTGATAAAATATACATTGGGGCCTCCCTAGTGGTGCAAGAGCTTAAGTCTCAGCACTAAGAAGCTATTGGCAGTCCCTTAGCACCAGTTCAATCCCCTGACCCCTGGTCAGGGAGCTGACCCACATGGTGCAACAGACCTCTCCTGTCTCACTCACTGCTCCCCTCAGCAGTGCATTTCAGTGGATCTGCCTGTTCTGTTCCCCATTCTGTCTCTGGTGAATCCTCTCACCATCCCCCACATCTCTGGCCTGTACCCCAGCTCTTGTATGCATAAATAAATCTTTAAAAATATATATACATTGACTAGCATCTGAAGCATTTTATATGAAAAGAGTTTAAATAGAATTGCTATAAGATAAAATATATTATTCATTTTCTCTCTTGCCTT